TCGTCCCCGATCTTGTTCTCGCTCAGCGAGTCCAGGCTGCGGGGGGCGGGGAGGCAGAAGCGGCCGTGAGCCCGCGCCGGCCGCCCGCCCCGGGCCGCCCCTCCCAAGCCGTCGAGACCCCGACCCCGCCCCGAGGCTGGGCGCCACGGCCGGCAGGGCGGGCCTGACTCCTGAGGACGGGCGCCCTTGCTCCCGAGGCGCCCGGGGGCGTGGGCAACCGCCCTGGAAAGCGGGACCCTCCCCCGGGCCGCGCTCCTGAGAAAGCAGCAAGTGAGCCCGTGCGGAGAGGGAGCCTCCGAGGCCACAGCATTTTTTCTTCTGAGGGTTCCCCCGTGCTGCCCCGTCCCTGCAGTGGGTCTGGTCACTCGCCCCAGCCACGCTGAGAAAGCCGCAGGGGAGAGAGACAGGGAAGGAGGGAGGTCTCTCTGCACTCTCTGGGAGGGGCAGAGTTTGGGGTTGTCAAAACCCGCGGTTACTGCGGCTGGTGGTGCGTGCCTGTGGTCCCAGCCGCTGAGGAGGCTGGGGCTGGAGGATCGCTTGCACCCAGGGAGTCGAGGCTACAGTGAGCTAGGATCCTGCCACGCCATCCAGCCTGGGCGGCAGAGCATGACCCCAACTCAAAAATAAAAGTGAAAACCCAGAGGCCGAGGGAGGGTCCCAGGAGCCGTACTCACTCCAGATGTTGCAGAGAGGAGAAGGCCGCAAGGATCCTCACCAGTGTGGGAAAGGCCTGGGGGCCCGCGGTGGGGCCCAACCTAGGAGGCAAGGAGCGGGTGAGAGCTCCACTCAGCCCAGGGTGGAGGAGCCTGGCCCAGAGGCTGGACCTGCCTCAGGCTGCACCCCTCCTGCCTCCCCCCAGCCCTGCTTGGGGCAGATCGCACCCCCCCTCCTACTAGGAGACCAGCAGGGTGTCCAGCTGGGAGCCCCCAGCTGTTTTCTCTGAGCAGGGAGCCAGGTCCACTCGCATGCCTGCCACCCCCACCTGGTGGAGTGGGCCCCAAACGCCAGCAAGGACCACCACCAAGGGGCAACCAGATGGGCCGCTCACTTGTCTTCTCAATTTTAATAACAAAAAGAGCCATTTGCTGAGCACCTGTCATGTGCCAGGCACACTCTGATCCTTCTCAGTTTAGATCTCATTTAATTCTCATGATTCTGAACTAAGAGCTCTTCTTACCCTCATTTTATATATGGGGAAACCAAGGTACAGAGAGGTTAAATAGCTCACTCAAGGTCACACAGCCTGGATCAACATTTAGACCAGACTTCCAGGGAATGAGAAAAATAAGAACAATAAAGGGCTGTTTTATTGAATATGGTTAAATGAGGCTGGGCATGATGGCTCAGGCGTGTAACCCCAGCACTTTGGGAGGCTGAGGTGGCAGGATAGCTTGAGCCCAGGAGTTAGAGGCTGCACTGAGCTATGTCTCGAGAAAAAAAAAGTTAAACATATTCAAGTTAAAGAACTATCTTTTGCCGGGCTTCGTGGCTCAGCCTGTAATCCCACGCCTTTGGGAGGCCCAGGTGAGTGGATTGCCTGAGCCCGCGGGTTTGAGACCCGCCTAGGCAACTTGGAGAGACCTCATCTCTACAATAAATCAAAAATTAGCCGGGTGTGGTAGCACACGCCTGTAGTTCCAGCTACTTGGAAGGCTGAGGCAGAAGGATCGCGGCACCCAGCAGGCGAGGCTGCGGTGGCTGGGAGCGGCTATTGCACTCCAGTCTGGGCGACAGAGTGAGACTCTAACTCAAAAAAAAAAAAGAACTCTTTTATTCTGAAATTCTGTCCTTTGAACATTTTCTCTTTTTTTTTCTTTTCTTTTTTTGAGTTGGAGTCGCACTCTGTCGCCCAGGCTGGAGTGGCACGTTCACGGCCACTGCAGCCCCAACCTGCTGGGCTCAGGCAATCCTTCCACCTGAAAATACTAGGTGTGTGCTACAATGCCCCGCCAAGTTTTTGATTTATTGTAGAGACAAGGTCTCACCATATTGCCCAGGCTGGTCTCAAACCCATGGGCTCAGGCATTCCTCTTGCCACCACCTCCCAAAGTGCTGGCATTACAGGTGTGAGCCACCGTGCCTGGCCTTGAAAATTTTCAATATCAAAATGATCATTCTTTAATAAAATATGGCACCAGCCATGGTTATTTTGTTGTTATTTGTCTGAGCGAACACACTTGATGAAAATTAAAAGACAGTAACCAAACAGTCACTCAAATGCATTCCATCATGTTTTTGGTCTCTGAAATTCCGAAGTCTGAGAACCGCTGGCTTCAGTGAAAGGCCACAGGGTGGGAGCTGGACTCCGGGCTCTGCACTGGGCCCCTGCTGGGAGCCTCAGCCAGCCCCTTCACCCCGAGTCTCGGGCTTTTTGGGTGTCTAGCCCCAACCTTACAAGGTTGTTGGAAGGATCAGGAATTTGTCATCATTCACTGCTTGCCTACTACAGTGGGATGTCTGTCCCCTCCACATCTCATGTTGAAATGTGACCCTTAGCCAGGCTCGGTGGCTCAACCTGTAATCCCACGCCTCAGGAGGCTGAGGTGAGTGGATTGCCTGAACTGCGGGTTCAAAACCCTCCTGGGCAACTTGGCAAGACCTCATCTCTACAATAAATCAAAAAATTGGCCGGGTGTGGTGGCACGCGCCTGTAGTTGCCGCTACTCGGAAGGCTGAGGCGGAAGGATCGCCGGAGCCCAGCAGGTCAAGGTTGCGGTGGTCCCGGTTACCGCACTCCAGTCTGGGCGACAGAGTGAGACTCCAACTCAAAAAAAAAAAAGAAATGTGACCCCAGTGTTGGAGATGGGACCTGGTGGGAGGTAGCTGGGCCACAGGCAGGTCCCTCAGGTACCCGCCCTGGGTGAAGAGTCAGTTCTCGCTCTGCTATTTGATCTGACAGGTAAAAGTGCCTCTTCCCCACTCCAGGTCCCTCTCCCACCAAGCAGTGGGCCTTTGGCCTGAGTAGAAGCCTCTCTCAAAGCCATGCTGGGGCCGTGCTTACACAGCCTGCAGAACTGTGAGGTTCTGGATCAATGACCCAGCTTTGGGTGTTCCTTTATAGCAACACAAGATGGACTAACACACTCACTGTGTGCCAGGCCCCAGGGAGAAAGCTAGGAACAAAACAGACCCAAATCCCTGCCCTCATAGAGCTGACAGTCCAGTAGGGAAGAAGATGGTCAGAGGAATCAGCCAAGGTGTCCGAGATTATGAGTCATCTGGAAAAAAGTACAGTCAGAGGGGGTGGATTTTATTTTTAAATATGAGGGTTAGAAAAGGCTTCTTTGAGTAAAGACCAGAGGAGGTGAGGGTGTGGGCTCATCTGGGGAAGAGATTCCAGGCAGAGGGCATAGCCAGTGCAAAGGCTCGGAGGCCACAACTTGACTAGGGAAGGTAGAGATCTGGCAGGGAGGCCAGATCTGGAGCAGAGCAGAGAGAGCAAGAGAGAGAAAGAACGGGGAGAACGGTGGATAGGGAAGCAGAGTCCCTCAGAGCGTCGAGGGGCCCAGCACCTGATCTGACGCGCAGATGAGACCCACGGGGTGCCCGGCACAGACCCCAGAAATAGTCCTCCCTCCCTTCCTTCCTTCCTTCCTTCCTCAGAACCTTCTCAGGGCCTCCAGGTGGCTAGTCACCTGGCTCTGGGTTGTTCTGCCCACGGCTGCTGTTCCCCAGAACACAGTTCAACCTCCAGCAAGGGGCTTTTTAAGCTGAAAATAATGCAGAGCCAGAAAGGGCCCTCGGTGGTTGTTTTTGTACATTTCCCCTTTTCTTTTTTTTTTTTTTTTTTTGTGAGTTGGAGTCTCACTCTGTCGCCCAGACTGGAGTGCAGTGGTCGCCTCGACCTGCTGGGCTGCGGCGATCCTTCCACCTCAGCCTTCCGAGTAGCCGGAATTACAGGCATGCGCTACCGTGCCCGGCTGATTTTTTGATTTATTGTAGAGATGAGGTCTCGCTGCCCAGGCGGGTCTCGAACCCGCGGGCTCAGGCAATCCACTCACCTCAGCCTCCCAAAGGCACGGGATTACAGGCTGAGCCACCGAGCCCAGCTCATTTCCCCTTTTCAGCAACATTTTTACCTCTGCACAAATTTGGCACCTTGTCTCTTCAAAACAAGAGATGCTTAGCTTTTTTCTGGGGCAGGAGGGGGTTGGTGACGAGGGGAGGTGATGCCTGTGGGTGATCAAGGGGGCATCACGGGCAAATCACTTGACCTCGCTAGGCCTCGGTTTCCTTATCTGTAAAACGGGGACGATGATGACAGTCGCCTAAAGCAGCCCTTGGGATGAACGAGATCACGTGTGAAATGAGCTGAGTACAAGATAGGCACTTAATAACTCCTTCCTAATCATTAGGTGATTTAGACCCTTAACAAGAACCAAACACTCACTGAGATTTTTCCTTGGTAGGGGCTTGGGGCCAGGCGGACCTGACTTCTTTTTTTTCTTTTGTGAGTCAAGGTCTCACTATGTCACTCAGGTTGGAGTGTAGTGGCATGATCACAACAATCACGGCTCACGGCAGCCTTGACCTCCTGGGCTCAGGTGATCCTTTCAACTCAGCCTCCCGAGTAGCTGGGACTACAGGCTTGTGCCACCATGTCCAGTAAATTTTTTTTTTTTTCAGAGACAAGGTTTCACTATGTTGTCCAGGCTATTCTCAAACTACTCCTGGGCTCAAGCAATTCTCCCTCCTCAGCCTCCCAGAGTACTGGGTTTACAGACGTGAGCCACTGTGCCTGGCCTGACCTGACTTTTATGACTTTGGATAAACAATATAAAGTTTCTAGGCTTCATTGTTCCCATCTATACAATGGAGAGATGAGACCCCAGAGGAGGGTCACCTGTACTCTGACAGGCAGCTCTGCATATAATGAGAACGACTGCAGTGGTCTGCCCCTCTGTGGTGACCAGGCTCCATGGGGCTCCCTAGAGCGCCCTGAGGTCCCTGTTTCTTTCACCCTGGCAGCACTTCTTAGGATGTTGGCTCCCAGCCCAGGCTGCCCAGAGGGTGTCCAACCTTCCCAGTTTGCCTGGCACTGAGGGATTCCTTGGGCTGTGAGACTTGCAGCACTAAACCAGGACGGGCCCAGGCAAGTCGGGACACCCAGTCACACTAGCTGCACATTGAAATTTCCCAGGACTCCTTCAAGCTGAAGAAGGGCTCCCCTGAGGACTCCGTCCCTTGGAGGTGAGCCAGTTCAGGCATGAGGGCCGTTGTGCAGTCTCTGCCACAGCAGGGGAGAGGACTCAAATGGTGGGTCACGGTCAAGGACATGGAGCCCTTCTCCCACTCATGGCCAGATTGCAATTCCAGGGAGGCCTTTCTCCCTCCCCCATCCTCACTATGCATGGCCTCCCCACATGGCTCATTCAGACATTGCCTCCTCCAGGAAGTCCCCCTGACTTCCCCCAGAGGGGTGCTTCTTCAACCTTAAGCTCACGGAGGATGGCAACCTAGGGCATTCAAGTAGGCCCTCAATACGTCTGTTTTGTGACTAGGTAGGAATGAGCATGTTAACCAGAAAAATGAATACACATGCTTAGACTCAGTATCTCCAGTGTTTGCCCAGACCAGCCACATCCCAGCTGCTAGAAACTGGTTTCCAAAGTGGGGGGCAAGAAGGAAAGAATGATCCTGGAAGTAGACCAGACACGGTGGCTCACACCTGGAATCCCAGCACTTAGGGAGGCCAAGGTGGGAGGATCACTTGAGGCCAGGAGTTTGAGACCAGGCTGGGCAACACAGCGAGACTCCATTTCTACCAAAAGAAAGAAAGAAAGAAAAAGAAACCTTGTGGGGACCCAGGACGATCCCCTTGTCTTACGCAAATTCCAATTTCTTTAGGTCCCTGACAGCAGGCAGGTCCTCAGCAGTGTCTTCCAAGGAACGTCTTGTCCTGGAGAAAACAGGTGGTGTTAGGGGTCACAGGCTTTTCTGTCCCTGAGTCCTTACTCAGAGGTCCCATGACAGCTGCCCAGTGCCCAAAATTCCGCAGGAGGACTGACTTCCTTGGGGTTATGCATCCCCTGTTGAAGAGAAACCGCTCAGGGCTGTGTGTTTCATGGAGAAGAGCCCCAGGGCACCTGTTCCCAGCAGCATACCAGGTGCCCAAGCAGAGTGTGAGGAAGGACGGTGGGAGATGGCAAACTTGTTCTGGGGTCAGTTTCCTCTGCCCGCGGACCTCAGCTCTGCTGGCTGTCAGCTGGTATGATATGGCCCTAAACGCCTCAAAGGTGGCTGTGGGTGTTACCTCTGTTATGGGATGCGGAAAGCATCCTCATTAACTCCCAGGAAGGGGCATCTCTCTGTGGCTTTAGCTGAGAAAGAATTGGGCATGCATGCCGCGTGGCATTCAATCCTGCAGACTGTGCCCGCGTGGTGACTGCGGCAAGAGATTCTGGGCGACCTTGCCCAGAAGGAGGGCTGGAGTGTCCCAAAGGACAGGAGGCGCTAGAAATGCCCCGACCAGCCTGATCATGGGGCCTATGTGTCCTCGACCTACAGGGCCTGGACCATCTCCCGGCTCTTCTGCCCCTCACCTCTGGGTCTGCACGAGGCTGTCTAGGTCCTCCACATCCTTCAGGGACTTGGCCTTGAAAGGCTCGATGGTGAACTTCTCCTCTGCCGCCTGGAGCAGCTTGGTCTCCCCACGCCGCCGTAGGGACTCCCAGAGTCTCACCGTGTCGCTCAAGGCAGCCCTGTGGAGGGAGGGCCTCAGACCCAGGCACGGTGACCAAGTGAGCCCATCGCAGAGGGGCAGCTCCATGAAGGGGCTTCCTACATATTCCCCAGGAGGGGAATCTCAATCTCTGCCTGCTCAATCTCTGCCTCCTCCAGAAAGCCTTCCGTGACCACTCCTGCCCCTACTGATTCCTCCTTTCTCACAACTCTTGCAGTGGTTTTGTTTTCCCTTTTTGTTTTGGCTACCAGGAAGCTCCATGCTAAATTCTCGACATGATTGTACAGGACCTTACAGCTTGGGTAAAGTATGTTTAGGGGGGATATGGGAGCAGTTCTCTGGAGAGTAAGTGGAATGCGCAAGGAAATTGCAGAAACACTTAATTGGACCAAATGAAGGAGTGTGGACTTTACCTGAGGGTGGTAGAGTGCCCTAGAGGACCGTGAGCAGGGGTGGGATGTGATCAGATTGAAGTTCTGGGAGGATTGCTCTGGTGGCTGAATATAAAGTGGAATAGGGCTGGGCGCGGTGGACTGCCTGAGTCCACAGGTTCGAGACCAGCTGAGCAATATGACAAGACCTCATCTCTACAATAAATCAAAAAATGAGCTGGTGTGGTAGCGTGCACCTGTAGTTCCAGCAACTTGGAAGACTGAGGTAGAAGGATCACCTGAACCCAGCAGGTCAAGGTTGTGGTGGTGTGAGCATGCCACTGCGTTCCAGCCTGGGCGACAGAGCAAGACTCCGATTCAAAAAAAAAAAGTGGAAGCCGGGCTCGGTGGCTCAGCCTGTAATCCCATGCCTTTGGGAGGCTGAGGTGAGTGGATTGCCTGAGCCCGCAGGTTCGAGACC